TCGTATATTATTATATGTTGAGTCTTGACTTCAGGATATTCTAGGACTTAAAATTTAACAGTCCTCAGCTCAAGATATCCCAGGACTTATTTGATTCAGTTGGTTTTAGTTCAGAAAATGTCAAGAGTCCTGAGATTTCCTTATGTCAGGACTTGATCTCTTGTAAAAGTCCTGAAAAATCCTGGGAAAATCTTGTTCTGGTGAAGAGTTAACATGAAGTCCTGATATTTCCTGACAAAATCCTGTGCCTGATGTCAGGATATCTCAGGATTTGACAATTGTCAGGAGCAAAAATTTTGGAGAGCAGGACATGTCAGGATATCTCAGGAAAATCCCAGGATATCCTGACTTCTCCTGACCCTCCAGGATTTATTTCTGCAAGGGTAACCCAGGAGAGAACACTACCCATGCTAAACTGAACTGCCTATTTAAGCAGTTCTTAAGCAGTTATTAAACAGTTTTCCAAATTTTAGACAGTTTTTAGGCAGTTTTAAGCAGTTCAATATATCAGTTAGCAAAGAACTGTTTATCATGCACAAGATAAACAGTTTTCTTAAGCAGTTTGTAGGCAGTTCTTTTTCTGGAAGCAGTTTTCTAATGTTACTCCTTCTATAAATATTACTTACACAGTTTTCAGAAAATGTCAAACAGTTTTCCTAAGCAGTATTGAAGCAGTTATAATCTTTGAGACAGTTTCCAGAATTCAGTTAATTGCAACATGCATTCACGACAGTAAACATGGACTGAGAAGAATTCTTAAATGAGTAACTACTTTACAAAACATTTTATTAAGTTTTTACTTCATACAATGCATGCTGCAACCAACGTGATCAAACTAAAAAAAAATAAAGAGCGCTTTATAAATTAGTGTTATTTAATACATATACATTTGTATTATCATTTTATTGTCATTGTCGTAAGATCTCATAAATATTACACATTACAGAAAATATACATGTGCTTGCTTAATATTAAAACAAGTAATGGAAAAAAATGGTAAACTCTGAATTGGAAAAATGAAATACCCCAGTAATTCATTAAGCTGACTAGTCCTTTTCACGACAGTTAGGAAATTCTGTGATAAATGTCTCTGGTCCTACATCAATGATATTACATACTTTCAGTATGGATGTTAGCAAAATACATTTAATTTCAGCATGCTGAGATGTGATTTTGTGGCAATTTGCACGAGCAGTTGTAGAGAAAGGATACACAAGAGCAAAGTTAAAAACATCTTGTTCATTATTTTCTACTTGTATAAATGTCTTAACAACCCCAAAATATACCTCTGTTATATCAGTACCCTCATAAAATTTTACAACACTCTGATTCCGCTTATTTAGCCGCCCATGTGCTGTCCCATATACAGGGCAAGCCATTTTCATTGAAAAAATCCTCCGGTATTCAGTCACAGAGGGAGAAAATACAGTAATAATATCTGAAACTGCTAAAAATTCCTCATTGCTTAATACCTTTTTATATGTTTGACCTAGTAAAAATATTCCATCTTCAATGCATGTACCATCATGGATGAAATTTGGTTTTAACATGACATTAATAAAAGCTTCATCACTTGAACCCTTTTCAACATATAAATCCAACATACTTGGTAAAGCCTGCATTTTTGTAACTGCATTAATTATTTGAGTCTCTACCCCAGTAGGGCCGTGTATATGTTTCAGTACATATCCATTTAAATCTTCAAAGACAAAACAATTATTAACAAACAAAGGACCATTTGCTCTCACACAATCAGTAATATGCAAGAGTTGGTGACAATTCATTGTTAAAAACCTTGCAGAATACAAATTTTCAAAATTTTCTACAAACTTAAAAAGACACATTTCTGCATTTTGTAGTTCAGTTTCTGAAATGCCTTCCTTAGAGAGATTATAAATTGCCTTTACAAACAAACAATAATGTACATAATATGCCTCAGGCAAAACATCAAAAAGTACAGGTAAACTCCAAAGAAACAAAAAATTCCGAAACTCTGAGGTCTTCCAGTGTTTTATGTCATCTAGAGATCTTGGAGGTCTTGTTATGTGAAGATTTGAACATATTGATTTAAGTCTGTTACTAACCAAAGAAACTGAAGTAAAAATAGAAAATGCTTCATCTTTGTGAATCTTATCAAACCAAAGGACCATAAGCAATTTCATAACACCTGCACACACACCATGCATATAATCAATGACAAATCCATTGATAACGTTAAAATGTTTCAAAAACATAAACCAAAAGGGGCCTTTGATTCCTCTGACTATGTACTTTTTTTTGTTTTCATGGATGTTTTTGATAACGTTATTAACATCATCTTGCAAATTTTGTGATGTTCGTTGAGGTCCTTTTGGATCATTTGCTTGGAAGGGAAAAGTACGAACATGACCACCCTTAGTAGTGGTATAGGTTTGTCCTGGTTGCAGACAAAACCAACAACCATACTCTCCATTGAACTGCATGCTGTTGCTCACCATGCAACGGGCTGGTAGGTCACAAACACAGTTTAATATTGTAGCTTTCATAGTAAATTCTTCGCCATTGCAATCTTTCATTTTTACACCATCTTCCAATCTGCAGATCTCCTCGTGGAGTGGTTTTAAATAACTCCACATCATTGGCTTTCTGGATGAAATCCATAATCCATAGTATAATACATTTTCCTTCAGTTTTCTCTCATTTATAGGGATTTCGTTTATCATCATGTACACTGGCCACATAGACACTGCTGAGCTTTTGAATATTTGGACTCCATCTGTATTCAAGGAAAAAGAAATAGCATTTGGATCACTTAAAAATCCTTTAGAAAACGCTTCTTTGTAGTTTGAACCATCATACACATCCTTTAAACTTTTTTCTGTGTTGTTTTCAAAATGCTTAAACCTGTGTGAGCGCACCTTTTCTAGGAAAGATGTCCTTTTGCACATAAGTTGGAGTTGATTGATAACTGAATGCTGGATGAAGTAGCCTATTGCTCCAGGCTGAGTAAGATCCTTTAGACAATATGGATTGGAACAATTTTTGGATTGCTTCTCTACATGAGTGCCACAAAAAGAACATAAATAATGAATTGCAGGGAAGCTCACAAATTTTTTCAGGTGATCCTTTAGTGCATAAACACTTTTTATCATGTTGTTTCCTGGTGGAAGTAGCATTGCTATAATGCTGATGACATAACTAACAGCCTCGTCAGACAACTTAAACCGGATACTTAAGCTGCATATCATCAGCAAAACAAATCCAAGTTTCTTCGAGGTACCAGCATACAGCTCAGATGAACATTTATCATCTTCATTTTCTTCTTCTTCGTTTGTCAAATAAGTGACTGCCTCTTCCTCTATAATACTTGCAACAGGATCTGGAATAATGTATGGTTCATCTTCAACATCTTCATTTGCATAATTATGATTAGTTGTTGTTGAGATAATGTCATCCATTTGAACATCCTCCTCTTCACTGACAGGTGGTGCATAATCTAGATGCATCCTTTCATTCATGTGGACAACATAAACATCAGGATTATATTCAGCAGTTGGTAAATGTTTATTTTTTATATCTTCATTGAGTTCCACAGCAATCTCCTCCTCAAGGAAAGGCCCTAGTTCAGCTGGTAAATTTGGAGAAGCTTCCTCATAATCTGGACTAGATACCTGACAAAGTATTGAAATTTAATTTTGTGTGTTTAGAGAATGGATGTAGTAGTTACCCAAGTTTATACTTTTAAACCTTGAAGCTAATTAGATTTTTTAAAGAAAATAATCTGAGTAATTTTTTTTCAAAGTCCATTATACATGTAAATATGAAAAGAATTAAAGTTTAGATTTAAACTTTGTTATTATCATTTGCATATAAATGATGACTGTATTTATTTATTACAAGTGTTCTAATATAATATTAACCTCATGACTTTCTTCTTCATCACATTCAACAGCACTCATGACAGCCACTTCTTGATTTACAGTGACATCCTTGAAAAAAATTGAGAAATTATGATAAAATTGAGCAAATTTTTGTGGAAGAATAGGATGTCTGTTACATATTAGATCTTAAAACTTATTCACAAACTTTAATAATAGTTTTTGCTTTTTATATATATATACCACAGAATGGTCAATAGCATTAAATTAAGATAATGTTCATCAGTATAACATACTTCTTGCATATCTTGTACATCAATAACAGGAGGAAGAACTGCTTCATCTTCATGTATCATTACAGCTGAAGGAGCCTGCATAGAAAAAATGACTAAATTCATTAACAAAACTTTATGTTCTCTCTAGCATTAATCAGTAATATCCCATACCAAACCATTCTCACAATTTGCTCATGAGCAGCTCACGTGAGGACTAACCAGATTTCCTCACCTGAGTTGCTCACGTGAGTCTCATGTGCAATTTAACATGCAAATTAGGTGAAATGCTCACGTGAGCAGGGTTCTGCACATTAGCGTTTTTTGCTCATGTGAGGAATCATTTTGCTCACCTAGAATATTGCTCACATGAGTCTCATGAGGCTCATGAGACTCATGTGCAACAATTGGAACAAGCAACAATAGAACAAAATTCAGATTACAAACATTATATAATTATGTAATTCTAAAATGTGATTCTTCAATTACATTTTAAATACTCTTTAGCAACATGTACATGTAAATAGATGCATGCATAATTATGTTCAGTGAACTTCATCTTTTAAACTTAAAATGAAATAAAAATTTAAATTAAATTATTTTAATTATGTACAGTACACATCAATCAAGGTATTATTATCCAATAGTTCCATTTCCAGTAGATTAACATAGAACATCCAATGTAAATGTCTAGTCAACATTTTTGACTGCACTAGTACTAGATGGTTTTAAGTTGTCTTGGAGGTTAAGTAGATGTTTCTTCCTTTGCTGAATTTATGAGTGGCAGTCATACTTGGGTTTAAAATAATCATCCAGTGGTACGTCATAAGAATCATAATCAATTCATCTTGTTCCATTCTTTTTCCTTGCATTTCCTTTAAATGAGTGCCAACATCAGAACTCCGTCATGTATGCAAGCTCAGCTAGGGTACATGATTAATCTGCAGATCCTTTGATTCCAAATTTTATCTGCAAAAAATTTGAAGTTATAATAATTTAGTTAGTATATTTTCAATGTTCCGTTGGTCATGAAAAGCCAGTCAATAGAAAAATCATATGCATCAATATTTAATTAGCAACTTAAATACTTGTAATTCATAGAATACCACACTGAGACTGTCAATTGTACACTCTGACCTAATCTGTTCTTACCATATTTATAGTTCTTAATTAAACTGTAATTCCTGATAACATTCTGCATTAAATATATCAAACTTAAATACACTGATAATTAACATATAAACATTTCTTTTTTTTTAATTAGTAATATCTGAAATGAGAGGGGGGATAATAAATTTCAAAGCACTTACCCTATTCTCAGATCAGCATATCTTTGAAACTTTCCTTCATTGTGGCTGCACCATGGTAATATCTAATTGATCTTTAATCATTTCCTCATCCCATGGACATACTGGATACATTTGTAACTTTTAAAGGTTAGCATCTAGTTCAATATGGTGATGACATGTATTTCCAAAAGCATATTTCAGTTCTTCACTGTATTAATCCATATACTTTCAATGTCCCTCACAAACATTTTGTATTGAAATTTTGAACTGGTCTTAGAAGGCGCACAAATCCTAACTGGCTCTCCTCATTGGATACTGCCCCACCTTAAGTAACAGTGGGGGACACAACAGGTTGTTTAAGTAGAGGAAAGCATTTTCAAATTGATGGGAGATGAAGATTAGAAGCTCAAGAAATTAAGAATTTATTCCTGCCTGGTCCCCAATCATTTGTGATGCTATCATCAGGAAGTGTTAACACTTAACACATGGTCAATTTGTAATAAAGGCTTGGGAAAGCTTGGACCACATAGAGTGTCAAAGTATTGTATTTCCTCACGTGAGCCTCAAGTGAGGAATTGAGACTTGTAAATCTTTGGTTTTGGTTCTACTTGTAATACTGAATTTTGACTATGTCCAATTTCCTCACCTCTTGCTCACCTCTTGCTCACGTGAGAAAACTGAACTTAGAAAAATCACTACCAATGCTATATCTTAAATTAGGCTGTTCTTAGGTGAGCAAATTGAATAGACTTTTGCTCATGAGCATTGAGGTGAGCATAATTTTGCACATGTGCATTTTGGTTAGTATTTTCCTCCCTAACAGAGACTAACAATCTGCACATGAGCAAAATCCAATTCTACCTAATTTGCATACAATTCTTACTTGATTCTCATGTGAGTCTCATGAGCTGCTCATGAGCATTTGTTAGAATGTTTGGTACGGGATATATATAATATATGTTTTACATTTGGTTAAGAAAACAAACTTACTACTGTGTCTTGTACTTTGCTTTCTTCAATAGGTGGAAGAACTGCTGTATCATATATCACAAGAGCTGGGGGATTAGCCTAAATAAGTAAATAAACCATTTAGAAACGCATCAAATATGGCAAATAACCATAATATAACACACATTTAACAACATGCATCAGAGTGAGAAGACGAGGAAACGACATCAACAACACATATTTAAATAATATTAATATTTACAAGACATTTCTTAAACACATTCTACATAAAAAGACACAATTTACGTATTGCTTCATTCGGAATTTCCTCTATCCATGACATGCTTTATAGATACTGGATTGTTAAGAATATTATCAATCTTTCGCGTCAAAACTATAATACCTCCTGTTTCTGCTTCTTATGTGGACTTCCTCTTTCTTCGCTGGCCATTTTTCTCAGGTATATCGAGCAGTTTGACGATGATTTTGTATACACGCTACAGCACTGACTTGGCCTATCGTATTACATGCTGCGTATTCGGTAACCTCGGCTTACTCCGCTACGCACCATGCAGAGGTCTGCATAATATCCGAGTAGTTCCGAGTGCAATAGAAAGAAAAAATAATGTATATTATTAAATAAAAGAAATGAAACACTTTTTACATGTTTACAAAATTATTTAATCATGGTTTTGATACTTTACTTTTCCCCTTTTTAGCAGATCTTCTTGTGAATTAGATCGCATTTCAATTTTCCACCAATCAATGATCAGAGCATCTCTTGCGCGGTCTGGGTCGCGCTCAAAATATTCCCGCTCATTTTCCTTTGTTTACTAATTAGCATCTCGGATTGTAATCATGACAGAGTTCTCCGTAGTGTATTTTGAATATGACAAACAGTTTACACCCGTCGCAAAAACAAAATTGAAGCTTTTGACCACCGCAGAAGCTGGAGCTGCTTGCTCAGTACCATTTGACACACTCCAAATTGGAGATGATGGCAGAGAAGTGATTGCTACGGAATTCTATAATGGCACCATCATATGTTCTGGGCAAGGTATGTTAATATCAACATATTTTAACTTTTAATACACACCAGCAAAAAAAAAGTTTTCCATAAGAGAGAAAAATTCAACTGAAGGGATAGCAGTTGATGATACGCTTAATAAGGGGGCACGAAAAGAAAAAAAAAATCAAAGAACATATAAACTGTTCTCGACTAACAAGAAAATATATTTTATCCGAACCTTTACTGGTCTCCCCCCACACAAAAATTAAGTTTGAGTCCCTTCATAATTAAACTGTTGTGTTTGAGATCGCCCCTTTTTTCTAGTCAACTTTTCCTGTGAATTTAAGGCATACACATTCCAATTCATCTGGACAAAATTTGAACCCCTTTCCCCTTATTATTATTATTTCATATATATTTCCTCTTCTTCTGGAAGTTTATATGTTATAATAAACCATATAACTTTATATTTTAATTTTGCAAGGTAAAAAAAAATAATGCATGGCCGTAGGATCCGGGGGGGGGGGGGGGGGGGGGTGCCGTAGAATACTGTAGAAAATATAGCTACTATATGCTTTTGCCCCCTCAATAATAACTGTTGTGTTTTTTGTGTGTGCGTGTGTTTGATTTTTGCTTGTCAAGAAATTTTTGGTAGTTGATAGTGCTCCCAACTGAAAATGTATGGTCCCCCCCCCCCCCCCCAAAAAAAAAAAACCCACTGAAATTGCTTCCTACGGGCTTGTAATGTGAATGAAATTTTATTTCTTTTCAGTGAAAAAAAGAGCAGTTGAGATCGCAAAAAGATGTCAGTCTCAACTTGAAGCCGATTCCTCCTCCTTGGAGGTAATAATAGAACAATACAGAAATGAGTCGAAAGTTAGAAAAAGAGATTCTGCAGGGAAAATGGCTGCAGCTATTCTTGAATTGCAGCCGGAAAGTAATTCAAAACCATCATCTGCTAATTTGGAGCCAGAAATTGTGCCTGCTGCCAAGAAAGGACAAAATAGAAAAACAAAATCTCTTGAAAAGAAAGCGCCGGAGAAGGTAACAAAAAAAAGCATCCATCCAGAGAAAATGGCAGAGATGCTAGAATTAGTTGGTGAGAATACTACAAGTCAGCAGTATATTAAATTGAAAAGCAGAGTTTCCCCAACTAAAAAATCCCTTGATCAATCAAATGCCACTGGTTCATCAAAGAAACATTCTCCTGCCAAAACAATGTCCTTTGAAAGGGAACAAAACAAAACGCCCAAGAAGCATCCTTCCAGTGAGTGCGCCCAAAGATCTTCCAACAGAATGAACTCCTCGCAGTCAGAACCAAACAAAACACCCAAGAAGCATCATTCCATAGCGTGCTTCCGAAGTTCACCCGTCAGAGTGAACTCCCATTCAGAACCAAACAAAACACCCAAGAAGCATCCGTCGAGCGAGTGCACCGAAAGATCTCCAGTAAGAGTAAACTCCTCTCATTCAGAACCAAAGAAAACGCCCAAGAAGCGTCCTTTGAGCGAGTGCACCCAAAGATCTCCCGTTAGAGTGAACTCGCATTCAGAACCAAACAAAACACCCAAGAAAAGCCGTTTGAGTGCATTTGCCCAAAGTTCTCCTGTCGGAATGATCTCTGCTGATATAGAATCAAGGAAAACACCAAAAAAGCACAAAGTAAACGAAGGCTTAGGACATTCACCAATCAAGATCTGCACATCTCCAGATAAAACCAAGACTAAAAACAGAAATGATTTTGAAGCCTCCACCTCGGATGTTCAAACTCATTCTGCATTTGGACAAGATCATCTTCCGACACAATACAACAATTTCCCTTATTTTCAAGATCTTTCACCAATAAAAAATGAAATCTCTGAAACCTCAAGATGGGATAACACATTTGTAGGATCGGCAGGAGTTTTACTTGACATGGAGCAGCCTCAAACTTTGTCATCTTGGACAAGTGTACAAGATGTCCATTATCCACACTGCAATCAAACTTCAACACCTGGACCTGAACTGCAACTCCCACAAGAAGAAGAGACAAGAAGATCAACATCAGACAGAGATACTCTATGTAAAAGTAGGTAAAAATTGTTGCAAAAAAAATCCAATTTATTCCATGTATTGGTTTGGAAATTCAAATATGATAGTTTTTTAAATTAATTGTTTTTCAGTTCTAAGGATTTCAATGAATGAGAGTCAATTTGCTGGGAGACTGTTACATAGAATTGCAGATGTCTTGACATCAGATCATCATGATCAAGATATATCAACTCAAATCATGGATAATTTTGATTCATGTAACTTTGGGCCAGAGGATACCATTAATAGCCAACCTTGCACAGTCAGCAAGTCTGAACATGAGGTAAAGAGACCTTTTTCTTGCATGAAAATTATCATAATCTTTGAAAAAGTGTTGAAATAATGTCACTTATGAACAGCTGTTGTTCAAAATTGCTAATACAAAGTACTGTTGTTGTTTTGTTTTGTTTTTTTTAATACAAGTATGGATTAAAATTTTGATTTTTCATCAACTCTAATATCCAACAACTAAAAGCTTGCAGCCTCTAATTAACATGTCTTGATATTTAAAGTGAAAAAAAAAATTTAAAAAATTTTGTAACTTATTTCTTACATAGCATGTTCAGTTTTGTTGGAATGGTAGAACAGCACACGGCTGCAGCGTACAAGCTCTAAGGTAACAAAACAGTCCATATCCTTAGATTTGCTCTTTCAGAAATGTTTCTGTTCGAAGTTGCTATGAAGAGGGAACTCACTTCACCAACTTGTATCGCATTGTATATATTCTTGTAAATTGCAGCTAATAATACACAAAGAATGTAGTTCTGCATGAAAATTTAGGTTAGATTATCTAGGCACCAACAGTTGCATGTTCTTAAATTTGGTTTTGATTTAAAAAAAAAAATATTGCATGCAATTCTTTATTTTCACACAAATGTTGATATTCTAATTTTGGATTTTTTAAACAGGAGAATCTTGGTGTCCTCATAACAGACCCAAATAACCCAGACAAATTTAGCAAAATTCGTATCAATAAAGTAAAGGAACGCCAAGCCATTATACAGGCTGAATCTTCCAAGAAACCAGCAGTAACACTCTTAAATGGCATCCTTAGCTGTGTCTTCACAGAGTACGAGTTATCCAATTCTTCTGGACTTGGACTAAGAAAAAGCAGTGATGAAGTAAACAAACCCCTAGACAGTGTCAAGATGGATGCAGTTAGAGGTAATTTGATTGATTTTCTTAAAGTTGATTTCATTAAAAATTTATATAAGCATAATTTTATACAATAAAAAATATACACAAAAAATTAATATGAAATTTGTTCATGCCTTTAGAATTTGGGACATTATTTATTAACTTTAACTTTTAGAAATTAATATACCTTACTCATGAAAATTTTTTATGTATTGCAGGTTACATTAGATATTACTGTAAAACGTACAAGTGGGAGGAGCCGACCATCAGTGAATTCAACAAAGTCGTTACCAACAAAGTGACCAACACCAGGAAAAAATTAAATAAATCTCCAAAATTGAAAACAAAAAACAAGTCGAGT